ACCGCAACCGCCTCCGCCGCCACCACCACCACTCCACCGGAGCTACCGCCGCCGCCACTAAATTATCGTACCCCCGAGGTGTAGTCTCCTCTGGGACCAGGGGTCACCCATTTTTACGTCACCCACCAGCAACTTTCTGCTTCGCTTCGCTGACGTAGCCCGGGTGCAGGATGGACAGTCCGTCTTCCACGCGGCGCCGACCGCACGCGGGGCAGCCACGACGTAAACACACATTGTGCGTAGACAGACGCCGATGCCACTCTCCTCGTGTCGTCAACCGATAAAGACAGCCGTGTTGTAATCACACGTGTGGGCACCCGCAATGCCGCGCCGTGCCGAACTTGGAATGGTCGGTCAACAGGTCTGTTGATCGATTGCTGTGATAGCGTCTGTGGCAACTGGTTGCTGCCGGCGGTGTGTTTGTACTGAGATTGTTGTAGCGGTACATCGCTCTAATCAAGATAGTGCAGGAGGAACATGTCATGTGGGTCTGTCACTTCGGTGGGACAATCATGAAGACAACTATCAACAATTTAAAAGAACTTCAAAAAGTGAAAAGCCAAATTCATGTAATAAACTGCGCTTGTTTGAAAAAACGCAAAAGGTAAAAGGAGCATTCATCCAGTAATTGAAACAAAATTTCAATCCAAGCATCTTTGTATTAAAAGACTTCCTCTTTGACCGTTTTCTTAAATTAAATGTTTTTACTAAAGTTGTAAGTGGAAAGTGACAGATTCAAAATGTTAACTCATTAACATTCAAATTAGCATTCATCTCTTACCAATCTCTTTCTTCACTCTGCCCTGCGATCTTCAAAGGCTCACAATGCGTGGTTAAAAAATGTGGATGGAAAAATAACTTAAATATGATATAGATGGAAAACTAAAGACGTTCTGAACGAATATTTAGAAAAAAATTAAGAAACTTTTAATATTCAGATTACAAGAATGTTCTATTTATGTATATTTAAATCTACAGAAATCAAATCAATCATACCTTTTCTTCAGATATCACCAGTAATTGATTTATTTTACATCATGTATGCTTGAAAGCTTGGATTTTTTACGTTCTTGCATTCTACTTACGTAGTATAGACAAGGTATTGTTATGCTACGCCAAAAACTCTTATGGTGGGGCTCTGATATTGAAAAAGTGAATAAATATAATTCCTACAGTAATGTTGCAAATGTACATGTTGCAAATATTATATCCTTTAAGATGTTGTGTAGACAGATTCCACGTTTTGTGGGTCCTTGATGCCGAAAAATTGATTGACGGCAAAGCGTTTGTCCATCCACCCGTCCAACTGTGATTATCGTTAGCTCCTAAACCATCCTGATGATTTTCTCCAAAATTGATATTTCTTCAGTCGATCTTGGTGAACTCGAGGCCCTCCGAATTTGAGACGGAAATTTTGATTTTCGGGGGTTCTTCTAATGAAACCTGAACGTAGTCAAAAGTTACTAAATTTTGCTTTTTTTAATAGAGTATTAGAGCTAATTTGGTGCAGGTTCAATTACCGGAAGTGTGAATGATAAATTGCGTAAAAGTATGTGCTGTTTCAGCTTTAGTTTTTCATTTGGCTTAAGTCGTTTCCTATCACTAACCATTATAATACAGTTTTGTAATATTTTCTTACTAATGGAATATTGTGATTCTATGTCCAAATTCCGATGTCTACACGTTCACCATCGTGGTAGGATAGTCGCACTTTCGTTTTTGGGGTCATGGAAGTTCAGTAAATTTTAATACTTACTGAGATCCGCTGCCTAGGGTCTCAAACAGCGTATCCAATATCACTGACATCACTCCTTTATTTGTCTTTTCATTTTTGAAGTGACTTTCACTTAATTACGGTATAAATCGATATACATGATTCTTAAAATATATAAATGAACCAAATAGGACCGATTCTTTCATGTTTCTATTCAAATTCATGTAGAAGCAAAGATTCAAATAATCATCTACTATATGCTGAACCTAAACTCTAGGGCAAACTTTGGAAGGTGGCTTCCGTGTAACATGTAATTAGTTGGTGCATAAGAAAAGTGACATCTCTAAACTTGTCACTTTGCAGGAAAACCGTTTAATCGGAGTTAACCGTTTGTATCGTGGCCATAGACAATGTTCTCTCTTTATCCCAATTCTTCTTTGGAATACCTTTAAAAATGAATGCAAGTAAAAATACTCATTTTTGGAAAACTAAACTCATTCACTGAACTGAAAAGTGATTAACTTCTAGTTGACATTTTTCTTAGGCACCCACGATATCCTAAAACTCACATTACTTTCAAAAATATTCTCACACTGAAGAACGCTTCAAACAGCCGTTGAGCTACTGCATTGTTATAGTATTAGTGTTCTATAAAACTGGTAAACCTATAATGGCACATACTTTTTTCGCATTATTTGTAACGTGCACTTTTCGAAGATTCGGAGAGTTCACAAAAATCACATTTATGTCGGTCTCGTCGTATATAATCGTAATCTCTATTCTAAAATCTTGAAGAAAAATGGAACTTTTTTGTATCTTTTCAGAGTCCAAACAAACAAAATCTGCGCCATTATTTTATGCGTCCTTTGTGTCGGAGCAAAAACAGTTTCGTAAGCTTTTCAAATTAAAATTCTTCTGTAACATTAACTGTTGAGTATCTGAAAATATTAAAAGACCCTTCATACGCTCGTGTAGATTGCAGTCGTGAAGAATTAAATTTTTTGAAGGGTCCAGTGAAAGCCTTTTGTGCGTATCATGTGTATGATTTAGTGGCCCGTGTTTTATTTTACTCACGCGAGAAAAAACATTATGTTGAGACGGTGCCAGATTTACTTCAAAACTGGAAGTGTTCGAGTCAAAAATATACCTAGGGAAGGGAAAGTAGGTATCCCATGCCTTTCTTTCTGTCCTGACTACCCACTGTCTTAGGAGTAGCGCCAAGGGGAATGGGTTGCTGTTTTGGAAGCAATACAATTAAATAAAATCTGTAGTTCGTTTAACGGTGCAAATATTTTTCTCTAATTTGCGAGTGAAAAAATGTTGTTTCCAAAAGTTAACCTTTCTTCATTGATACATTTATTCATCATTCAATAGTAAAAGGATGGTTAAGGGGTTTTGGAGCTCAAGGAAAGGAGCTCTGGAGTGCAGGCTTCTCCCTTTTAAATATCATACTGGTCTTTTTTCAGTTTTTGACAAAATAAATCACACCAAAGGCCTCGCAGATTGCTCGTGGGGATCGTATTAGCTTCCAATGATGTGATCCCGTGGGTACGATTCGTGGCCACGGCAAAAAAGAGTTGTACCATTCGTTTAAAATCATCTGTAACTGTGAGACGAAGAAAAACTCTTGCAGGCGGAGTTTGCTAGTTACGATGAATAGGTTATGTTCGCCACATGTCTCTCTTACTGTCAAATCGCGAGAATGAAATTAGGCCCACTACCCTTGGTCACTACCTTGAGGAAGCCTGCGAAATGTCGGGCGAAACGTCGGCACACCAGCCAACGACGCGGCGTCTCTCGGATAGCCGAGAATTCACGAAATTAGGCCCAGGCATAGGAGGGACACCGTTAGCTTGCTGGCGAAGTCTTGACTATCGACCCAAAAATATCATATCCATACAATCAAACCAAACCGAATCTAGTTGAGTACAGTAGAGTCGCGGTAATCCGAGCCTGGCTTTTCAAGATTTCGTGCAATCCGAGGTAGCCTGATGTGCGCCAAGCGACCTGACAAGCAAACAAATCTAGAGCTGGCTCTTGAGGGGTTGGCAACACTACGTCGGAGGTCACGTGTACGGCGGTCGGTGCCAGTGCCAGTCTGTCGGCTACATTGTTGTGACCGGTTTGCACTCGTTTATATATGTTGTATCTGTATTTTTTATAGTATATGCATATTAAATTTGACATCGTTGTACATTATAGTAGAAAATTCTGTTATGTATTTTCCTTTTCTCCGTGTAATCCGAGGTACCATCAGTCCAAATTACCTCGGTTTATCGCGATTCTACTGTATGCCAAAGGCTATCGACCCCAAAATGCCAAATACATTCAATCAAACCAAATCGAACCTGGCACGGAGTTGAGTACGCCATCACAGAAACTACCAGCATGCAATAGAAACCGCGTGCACGACTGCCCCTCGCCGCACGCAGACAGTGGAAATCGGGTAGCGCACCCCCGCGAAAGCGACCTCGTCAGGTTGACAAACTGCGTGGTGGTATTCGAACCACGCGCCTGGGCGTGGCGCAGTTGGCACGCGTGGCACGCAACTCTCACGGCCGTGACCGACCGCACGGGCCGTTTCTGATGGGCTTCGGAGGCAACCCATAAATACGCCGCTGCTCAGTGTCTCAATAGTTTTGCGGGTCAAGGATTTTTTTATTCTGTGGTACATGTAGCTTCTAGCTTTGATGGTGGAACGGTTAAAATATTGGACTGTTATTTCCAAGTTTGTGAGTTCGAAGTTGAGGGACGTTGAGAGCTAAATAATTCGTCGTACGCCTTCCTTCAAAAGAAATTGGACGCCGGTGTTTTCATGTCGCGTATTTGATATAACCTTAAGCACAAACAATGTCTCTGCAGAAGTATTAAACACTACGCCCTAATAATATCTCCCTTCGTAGCTTGTATAACTTTAGATCCATTTCTAGAGTACCTAGTTATGAGGATAAGCGCTACCTGAACTACCACTGCCATTTAGTAGCCTCTTATCTGAGAGCCCCATTAGGCATTGAGATGTTGAGGAGAAATGATTACAATATTGAAGATATTATGGGTTCGAGTATATTAATATTGGTTTTGATGGTTTCCAAGTCTCACAATATCGACAGAGTTCGAACTTCCCTATGAATTGGATATAAAATGGCGGAATCGGCAGAAAGAGCTGGTCTTAGAAACTAGGGACACTTAATGCCTTCCTCTTCTTCATTATCATGTCCTAGTAATGCCAATAGTTGAATTGAATATTCTTGAAGCTATGTGGTAATGTTTGTAAAGATTATTTACTACCGGCGTTGTTAGTCGAATATCTTAACTACTTTTTATGAAGTCACGTAAGTTAAGCAATTCTAGATACCAAGAATTCCTGAGTCGGTGACTATGTGGGAACACCGGTTACTAACTAAGCCGAACCCCTGGCCGAAGGGATAAAAGGCAATGACTTACCGCAACGTTACGACAAAGGACAAAATTAAACGAAGGATTACTCCAAGTATGTATACGTTAATGTCCAAAATATTGCTAAGAATCGTTGTTAAAAACAACGATTCAGACTCAAAACTCAGAAAACAACAACATCAGAATTAAAATAAATAAATAACTTTCAGGGCTTAGTTGATATTTTACTAAATTATTCTGCTAGATCGCTGATTGCGAGAGACTGCGGGTATGTATTAAGCTGCATGACTTTAATTAACCTTTAACGTGACTGACATTAACAAGGTAAAGCATTCATGACTCCAACCTCAATTAATTAACTACTTATGGTACTACTTAACTACTTAGGTGTGGGCAGGATCGAATAACAGATGGGATTTCTGGTACTTATCACTCAAGAATAATCTTTTTCGTCTTCCTCATTTCTTCATTCTCCTCGTCTCTCCTCTACGCCTTCCTCCTCGCCCTGAGTGTTTCATCAAAGCATTACAATGCCCCTCTGTGCACAGAAAACGGCAAGGCGACCGGGGACGCGCTGCCCATGAAGAAGTTCTCAGGAGCAGAGAACTTCGCCGAGAAGTTCAAGTACCACGACCCGGAGAAGTGAGTACTACCTTTCTGTTTCTTCTTTGTTAGTACTTGCTGTGCATTGTTGAGAAGTAATGGAGTAAAATTATTTCATTGACTTGTAAAGATTACTTTATTACCAATTTTTGCATGTAATCCTTACTTTTAGCAGAATGTTCTTTTTACTCGTTCTTTACTTCTTGATATAAAATTATAATCATTACTTTGTAGTAATCGTTTCATCGCATATAATTATTAATGTTTTTTTAGATATGCCTATTTAGTTCTTTTCGTTCGCAAACTACCTCGCTCGTCGCGAACTAATGGGCGAGTAAGTCCATTTAGTTAAGAAACTAGGCCGATCGAAAGGCCCCAACCACGATGTAAAAGAATTGATTAGGCTCCCAGCGCGGCAAAAGCAGAGTAGTTCGTTTAAATTAGTTCGTTCATCAGCGACACATCTCTACCTTTACTAAAAATTTTACTAGTTACATGCTGGATATGTAATTGAGTACAATATTTGACAAGTGTCAATCAATCCCAATTCCTTTTTTTTAACTTTTCCCATCACTGCTTTTCTGTTAGACTGGGATCCAGCAGTTCTCAAGTTTGACTAGTAAATTCTCAGAATTGACAGGTCTCAAATTCAGAAACTAGTTTTGATTTCGGTCTTGAGCTTATGAACACTTTTTCGTGCCTCAACAGTCAAAATGTTTCTCTAAAAGGTCTAATTATTTCCGCGAGAAAAATGGAGAACGTCATGAACCTAAGAGTGAAAGTCTAGCGTAACGTACCGTACGGGTGCAACTGATGTTTCGATACGTGCGTCATAAGTTTCTGAGGCGTTTCCGACCTTCGGTCTTTGCAATACACAAAGAAAATAATTGCAATTTTTGCATTGTTTAGATTCAAGTTGGTTTTGTCGTAATCGCGATGGCCGTAGACTCGCGTTTGGACGCGCGTTGCAAAGTGTCAACGACACCCTAAACGTATTCCGTTATATACGACTCGCGGGAACTTTTTAGAGGTTGACTGAGACCCCTTGAAAGGCCTGAGGATCGACTAGTCTAACCTAGCAGCACCAGGGAGTTTGACGATAATACCTCTATAAATAAAACTCCAAGGAAAGTGGTCGGTTCTCAGTAAAAGTAGATATAAATTACCATTTTGTAAATAATAGTTCTCGTCTTTAATACTTCAGAGAACGCAATTTGTTTAAATTTAACTTAAATAACAATCTGCTTTCCAAACTATTACATTTACAAAGACAATGAATATGATTTCATGTAATCAATGCTATGCAACAATGAAATTTCTTCACACCCAAATTAAAAATAAATATACTTTAAAGTTATATTTGTATCTGTTTTGACAATGTAAAAACAGTCTTCATTATTATTAAAATAGTTACATTTGCAACTTTCTTAAAATTTTATCATTTAAAAATACGTTGACTTTGCTGAAATTTATTTATTAATAATTATATTTTTGTGTTTGAAGTTTATTTGATTAGGTTTACAAATAAAACAGTTTCCTTGAATGGAAGTGTTGCAGCAGAATTGCAGGAAGTGTTTACAGAGCGCAAAAGAATTTGAAGCATATTTAATGCTAATAAATTATTGATAAAAAACCAACCAAATATTTAGGTTAGTTGAAAGAATTATGCATTGTATTCATAATTTGATCTGTTTGTAGAAAATCGTATAATTCAATTTAACAAATCCATTTCTTTAATAAATACGGTTTATGTTTAATTGATGCACATATAGAAATGAGGACAAATATGTTTAAGAAACTATTGTTTATGGATAGTCGTCTATTTCTTCTTTAACAATTACGGCTCAGAGGAATGATTTATTATAGGCTACTTTCCTTGCCTCGATAAATTTACTCTACTCCAGAATTTGTTCCACTCCTCCGCACATCCCTGGCACTGATTTCTCTTGTAATCGGCGTGTCTAGGTGAACCGGCGTAACTAATGTTTCGATACGTACAGTATGATTAGTGTGGAAGATAACGTGATGCAAATTATACTCGTAATATTGGCTGTACATACGAATAAGTGCGTTTTCATGTCATCTTACTACCATATTTAGAAATCCTCAGGAACCATATTTAGAGATAGTACGTGTTTTACAACTTGCCATAACATGTTGGAAATTGATTTTGAATAATTAATATCTTCTAGGTTGTCAGGCACACCATCTTTCCTTTAGTTATGCGATTGGACACAGCCAAAAAAGTAGTGTTCATCAAGTACCTTATAACCTCCTATCGAACTGGGGTTTACCTCTTCAAATTTACCTCTATTTTTCACATTAATTGTTAATATATTGTAGGATGACTTCGAGCTTTATGTAAATTTTTTTTCTAACATCTGCTTTATTTGCAATTTGTTCTACTCGAACATTCGGCAAATACAATTGTACATACATTATTGACATGTAAAGAAACCATCCAATTCTGGTTCTTTCTAAAAATGGTTTTAAACTTATTGTCCAATTCAGAGAGAAAAACAAAACAAACAAGAACAACAATAAACGACATCACATTGAAATAACAATAACACAATAACACAATTACAAACAAACATACAATAGTGCAAGCATTGTGACAAAAAAAATATATATCTACAGTAACAAATATTTTAAAAGAAAAATATTATTTATATCTGTGGTCCAGATCAAGAGGATGTACTCTTTTCAATCTTCTTGTCATTGTGCTGTTATCTAAGATGTTTATGGCCAGATGATTAATATGATTTTCGAGTCTCTGTTGGTATTTGTGAGATTTGAGAGTGATTTCCTCTTTAACAGTGGTGGTATTGAGATCTTTATGTAGAGTGGCGTTTGATACATACCATGGAGCATTGCTTAATAATCTGAGACATTTGGATTGATATCTTTGAATTATTTCTATATTTGAATGTGAAGCTGTTCCCCAGAGTTCAATTCCATAAGACCAGATAGGTTTGAGTATTGTTTTGTAAATTAAAATTTTGTTTTCTAGACTCAATAAAGATTTTATGTAAATTTGGTATTAAATTTTTTTTAATTTCCTTCCGAATGGAAAAAAGTCAACAATACTTTCCGAGTGGTTTCTTTTTTCTCTTTTAAACGAACTTAGTTTGCTGACATAAATATTTCATATAGTATTCGGAGGTAGACATAATTTGTAATTTTTGGGGGTGGGAAGATTCAGTCTATTTTAAAATGTTGTGATGCCAAACATCAATTAGTGTATCAAAAGGCTACTTACTTTATGCTTTATTTGGACTCTGTCAATTTTCAGGATGCCCGTCACCCCGATTCCCGGTCGTTTTTCGTAATGAAAAAATGTTTAAGACCATTTTATCTCAAAACCAATATTACTAATTTACAAAAAAATTAAAGAATGCTCTCCAAACGGAAATATTCAAATAGAAGTTTCTTAAATACTAACTATTCTTAAATACTAAGGGAGTGAAGATGCATATGGAATTAAGTTTAATGAGTGCTGCTGTTAGTTTTATTAAGTACAGACTAGATAAAACAAGCAGACGTCCTGCTCTCCATCTCTCTCCCTCTTTCTCTTTCCATCACTCTTTCTCTCTCCGTCACTCTTTCTCTCTTCGTCTCTCTGTCCCTACCTGTCCGTCTGTCTGTTTTTCTGTCTCATTCTCTCTCTCTCTCTCTCTCTCTCTCTCTCTCTCTCTCTCTGCGTCTGTCTGTCTCTCTCTGCGTCGGTCTCTCTCTCTCGGTATCTATCGGTCTGTCTGTCTGTCTGTCTGTCTGTCTGTCTGCCTCTCTCTCTCCGTTTCTCTTTCTCTCTTCGTCTCTCAGTCCCTACCTGTCAGTCAGTCTGTCTGCCTCTCTCTCTCTCTCTCTCTGTCTTCCTTTCTCTCGTGCAGCCTGTCCTGTCCTCCTCTTCCTCGACCTGCGTCACGCGGCCACGTCCAGCAACAATGAAGCACAAAGTGGGGTTCAGTTTTAGTCAGAGAAATTGAATTAAAATTAAGCGCAATCTCGTGCTGCAGCACCATTTAGTAGAGTTACAATACAACTAACAGCACAAAAACCTGCGTGAAAGAACACGTAGATGTGCCATTTCATGGAGATTGGTTCTACCTCCCCGCTGCTGGCCTCTGGCGGAATATATTAGGAACCTGTCCCTTAGCGGCAGGCGAAAATTAATGATCGTGGTGCATTTACCAGAATATTATTTAAATTATTCATTTTCCGCATTTGTTGTATTAACCCGTATCAAACTTTGCAAGGACATTGCGTCAAATTGTGATGAAGAGCCTGTAAATATTTCGTATCTACTCATACACTCCTTTTTATGGAATCGATGTCCATTACATGTCATTAAATTCACTTTCATTAGTATAGATGTCCTGAAAATTGTGATGAATGGTTTGTAAAATGCTCAATTAATTATTTTCAGCTTTTTACTTAGATTCATAAATTACATACTGGCAGTTTTTCCCTCGGAAAACCCATAATTGATGTTATGTAGTAGTAATTCATTTATGAAGAATTTTATCTCTCTTCTAGGTGAAACTCGTATTTATATTTCTATATATTTTGCTAAAATTGGAAATGAGTAAGAAATTGTAAACATATGTGCAAAAGGAAGAAAACAAGAGTAGTAAGAATGTGTGTTCGAAGAAAAGTGTTACAAAAAGTATAAGGAACTCTTCACTCGAAATTCAGATCTTGTGCGTCTACATTTTAAATCAAACCTACGCAGTTACCACCCGATGTAGTAAAGGACGGGGTACGTGACTATTCCACAGCCATTCTTTGCGCGTCTCCTATTTAACTACACACCGAAGGCGAACAAGACGCCACGTTTTGCCTGACCGCGCCTCGTATTCTCGGCTAGGCGACCGTGTGATTCTACCTGCCCGCCCAGACTTTGGTTTTCGTTCCCACGGGCGAAGGCACTATGCCACTGAAAAGAACTGTATCCCGGGGAGGGTTACCCACAATGACCTAATATTTGATTAAATGATAAGTGATTCCGGGCGCATCAATTGCCAAGGTCATTAGTACCATAAGTGTAGTACATGTTTTTGATCGGGAGTTGGCGGTGATCTTCCCCCACTGAATGGCAAGATTCGGAGCCGACCTTCCGTTCGCTAGCGGGGTTTTCCTCAACCAGGTATCTCCCACCAGCGGGACACCGCCGCAACTGGAACAAGCTTTAAGCTCCCGACCGGTCTCTCTGCATGTGTGGTAGTGTTCTGCATGTTACTGTGTGTATGTAAGGAGTAGGATGGGACAATGAAGAGGAAGGAAAGATCGCGCGCGGCCCGTGGCCCGTTTTTTAGGGTGCTGCACCGGCGTTCTCCTGGTGTTGATCGGAGAAACCAAGGAAAACTACCGACTAGAGAAGCCCGCTGCTAGAATTATTCTCCAAACAGCGACAGAACTCGACTTAGCTGTGTAGCTAGTGGTGAAAATCCTGCCATCGTCGGGACTCGAACATTGGACCTCCCGATCAGAGGCACTGTAGTGATATCAGTTGATGCCTGATCCTCGTCTCCCGGTGACCCGCAACGTCTTTTACGGTACGATCAAGTACTTGTTCTGAAGAATATCAGAAGTGGCCGATATATTCACTTCTTAGCACCGACGCTACGTCGACAGTTCAGAGGCACAGTCACTGTAAGAGTTATATCTTAGCCTCATCTGGTCTTTCGAAATGTGTGGTATTTTGAAGGACAATTCTAGCGACAGTTGATCTGACCGCTTGTTTTTCATGCTCTGACCTCCCGTGTTTCCGATATATTCGAGTGGAAAACCGGCATAGAAAGTTAATAAACTGTCTAGTGGACTGCACAGGATCGTTCGTTCCTCTTTCTCGTCCTACTTACATTTACTATACAACCACACATGTCGGGAGACCAGTCGTGAGCACAGAGCTTGTCCCGGCCGAGGCAGCATCCAACTGGGGCAGATGAACAGAGAGGGAAACCACTCGGTTAGTCGGCGTGTACCGCACCTGATCTCGCGTTGCGTTGCGTTGGGTAGGAGCGCGTGCGATTCCCGGGGCTAAAGACGGAAATAGTTCACGCGTCCTGAATCAATACTCACTCACGCGAACGTAAAGTGGAGTCTGCGGAGAGAGGAAGCCCGCTCATGTGAATTTCCTCACCGCTGATTTAGCTCAGAATCAGCTTCGCCGCTCACCCTGCAGCTTATCACACCGGGAGGTTGTACGGATCGGGTCCCGACTGTGGCGGATTTTCGACTGTAGCTACACAGCTAGGTCGCGTTCAGCCGCTGACTGGAGAAGAATTCTAGCGGCCAGCTGATCCGATCTGTTGATTTCCGATGGGTGGTTTCTGCGATCAATATCGGACGACCGCCGGAGCAGTACCGTTGCAAATGGGCCAAGGACCGCCTACTATCATTCCAACCTAATCCCTATACAATTCTCTTCCTTATATTTCCTTCCTTCTATACATTTCGGGAGATTAGAGCTCGTCCAGTTTAGGGTGGTGCTCCGCTGTTGGGAGATGCATAGAAGGAGAAATCCTGGAAAGTCGACGTATGGATTGGCGCCAAATATCCCCTATCCAACTGAGGAAGATCACCGCCATCTCTCGTGACAAAACATGCATTACACTTACGGGACTAATGGTCGTAGCTATTGACGCGCCAGGAAACAAGGACTCATTTGACGTATAGGTTGACGCCCTATCCTATGCTCAAGTGTGAGAGTAACACCACCATCTCTAGGAATGTAACATGCATTACACGTATGGTGATATATTTGTTTATTGTAAAACTCAAAGTGTTTATGGCCAAAAGCGTCGACCTAGTCGTAGTTGGAAGATCGGTACACGGGCCCTAGCTTTTATGCCTAATGTACTATTTAACAAATTCGCCTTCAAAAAACTTTTAGAAAAGAAAGTGTGAAATGTAGCCCTTAGGATACATTAACAGACAATGCAAATGTGAGTTGTAAAAACTTAATATAAGACTTAAAACTACAATTTACAAATAATTCCAAGAGAATTTAGAAATGACAGTGATAATTGTTAATACTGAGGTGAAGTCCTTACAATACATGAACAGAGAATGAAAATGTGACTTGTAAGCACTTTGCATAAATCTTAAAGTTACTATTTACAAGTAATTGCATGAAAATTTAGAAAGGAGAGTGACAATTGATAATATTGAAATGTTGTCCTTAGGATACATAAACAGACAGTGAAAATTTGATTTGTAAAAACTTAACATAAGACTTAAAAGTACTATTTAGATGTATTGGCAAATAATAAAGTGGTAGAGATTAGACTTTTATTAGACTAATGACCATAGCTGTCGACGCTCACCAGAAACACCAATCCATTGACTAATCAATCGAGCAATCAATGAATCGATTAATCAATTGACCAGTCATCAATCAGTCAATTGACCAATTAATAAAATCAATCAATTAATCCAATAATCAATTGTCCAACTAGTATATCAATCAATCAATCAATCGATTAATCAACTGACAAATTAATAGATCAATCAAACAATCGATTAATCAATTGACCAATTAATTATCAATCAATCAATCAATGGATTAATCAGTTGGCCAATTAATCGATAAATCAATTCATCGATTAATCAATTGACCAGTCAATCAATTGATCAATGAATCCATTAATCAATTGCCCAATCAATCGATTAATCTACGAATCGATGAATGAATGACTGACTGAATGAATGGCGTCGCGCAGGTCGTGGCTGTTCCTGTTCTGCGCCAAGTGCCGGCAGCAGCCGTCGGGCGAGGCGTGGGAGCCGCCGGGCTGGCAGCGCGTCTGCCCGCACCCGTTCTGCCCGTCGTACCGGCAGTGCGCGCGCCTGCTCGCCCTCGTGCTCATCGGGCTGCTGGCGTGGGGCGTGGTGTTCTGCGTGGTGGGCCACGCGGCCGCGCCGGGCGGCCAGCTCTTCGGCCTGGCCGCGCTCGCCCTGGCGGGCCACCTGGGCGGCTGGCTCATCTCGCTCACCACGCTGCCCCCGCTCATCGGCATGCTGCTCGTCGGCATCCTCATGCAGAACGTCGGCCTCGTGCACATCGCGGACGACTACGTCGAGGTGGTCTCCGTGCTCAGGTAGGCCCCGCCCCCGCGCCGCACCCCGCGCCGCATCCCGCGCCACACCCCGCGATACACCCAGCGCCGCACCCCGCGCTCATGTGAGCCGGGAGGAGAGGATGAGAGGGTGAGGAGAGAATGAGAGAGTGCGGAGAGGAGAGAATGAGAGGGTTAGAAGAGGAGAGAATGAGAGGTTAGAGAGACGAAGACTGGAGACGGGTTGAAGAGCAGGAGAATGAAAGAGGGTGAGGATAGATGAGATGAGAAGAAGAGATGAGTGCAGGGGTGAGCAGAGGAGAGAATGAGACGGGTGTGAGGAGAGGATGAGGGAATGAGAGGGAGTTTGCGGAGAGGAGAGAATAGATGAGGGTGCGGAGAGGAGAGAATGACGAGGGCTGCGAGAGAGGGAGATGAGAGGTGGAAGAGAGGGAGAGATGAGAGAGTGGAAGAGGAGAGAATGAGAGGGTGAGGAGAGGAGAGAATGAGAGGGTGAAGAGAACGAGAGAATAGGAAGAGAAGAGAATGAAAGGAGAGAGAAGAGAGTGAACGGTTGGGGGATAAAATGAGAGGGAGATGGGGAAAAGGATGAGAGCGTTGGGGAAGGAAGAGAAAGATATAGTGAAGTGACAAGAGAAAGATACGATGAGGAGAGTAGAGAGAGGCTTGAGAAGAGGATGAGTGTGTGAGGGAAGAAGAGGAAGAGGGTGAGATAGCACAAGGGTATGAGAGGGTGACAGGAGAAGTGGGTGAGTGGGAGAGGGAGAGATTCCTCTCTAAGATGGAACACTTATATGTAAAAAGTCTCATCAGCATATGTTAAATTCATTCCTTATAAGATATTCGGTAGACTGCGGTTATATCACAAACCAGAAGATGTTTCATTTATGTGCTATTATGTTCGCTAAGAAAACCTCCCCTACTTATGAATATGGATCAGCGTTTATTGAATTGCTTGTGTTATGAGTTGCAATCCATGAGGCGCTAAGTGAGAGCTTAGCAAAAAAATCTCAAGGATTTTAAATGAGCCTTTACAAGGACGTTAAACGTTTTGTTTGTTGTTTTTTTGTTATTTTTTGAGGGGATTACTACAATTTTGTAACAAATATCATATTGTTATTATTATACTGTTACTTCATAAAATGTATTGGATACATGTCAGCATCGTCTCACTTTTAACACTAGTGCTAAAAATTGAACTTTCATACTCTGTGCGTGCCTTAGAAGTAAACGCTTGTTCTTGAGACTGCCTAAAAGAAATATTTTAAAGCACAATTTTTTATACTGTAAAACTATAGCAATTAACTACATTTTTGGCACGATATTTATGTTTTGCAAGGGTAATTAGTCACACGGATTTTATTTCGTTGTTGAAAAACTCTTTATACATTACTTGCTGACTGTTGCTTAGTAGTACTTTGTGAGGAGAGGAGAGAATGAGAGGGTGAGGAGAGGAGAGAATTCGGATACTGTCGTTCAAAAATATATTTTCTTAACGAAAGAAACCGTTATTATAGCGTTTCTCACGAATATCCTTTAAAAAGTCTCCATTTATCTTCGTCCACTGAAAAGATCTAAAGAGTTGAGTGTTTTCCATGACGTGAATTTCCGGTATTTCATGGTCTGTTGCTTCCTTAGCACTCACGCAGGATGCGCGAATCCACATAACTTGGCCAAGGGCCGGCGTTTCATATTTCCTTCTCATGATTACCTCGGTTCAAGACGCGCGGTGCAGGTTTCACTTGATGATCCTAACGATAGTTTCAGCTGTCCCAGATCTCGCGTTTCGACACTGTGTGTTACGGAGCAGGTGACGTTGAATCGCCGTAAGCGAAGAGATGTGCAAGGTGTTGTGTAAGAGGAAATAAGCTGGCCCGGAAACCAGTCCGGTTTCCCGTAGCTTACGTATCATCGGATTTCACTTGGTGATACCGAGTTTTGGAAATAATTAACACCTAATTCTGAATTAATATAAAATTCCCCGAGTCGTGTGGTACATTATTTTAAACTAAGCAAAATACTTTCTGGCTTGAAAATAAATGGCAGACGTTTCAACTATCTCTAAAGCATGCAATTATTCCTCAACAGTGATACTGTTGTAGAAATAAAACTGTTCTATCAACAATAATTCTGCTTTTTCAATCATAACGCAAAAGTACCTACAATTTACTGTTGTCTATGTTAATTCCGCCATGTTAGCATATATAAACTGTAAACTGTACATTCAGAATTTGCATAGTAATTTATGTCACCTCTTTTATCTAGATAAGAAATTTCCGACTAAGTAGTTAACAGTAGTTAGACAACATCGTGGTAAAAATGTTTTACTATTTCCTCTCTATGTTCTGTAAACTGAGATTTACTGTGTTTACATTACATTCTTCAAGAACTATGAAAAAACCTAACTCCATTCTAACGATCAATCATAGCAAGGGCTTTTGGCCTGCAAGTTTGACACAGTTAGCAAAGAATGACACGGTTTCTGCAACTTAATGTAAGATAAAGCCGTATAATTGATTTTCATTCGTCTTGAGATATAATAGCATTTGCATAAGTAATAACTCGGTAGTAACGTACGGGTTGTTTAGTGAATAAGTGAACTAGTGAGAGGCAAATACAGGAAACTTTCATTACTAATAGTTGTAAAATTTCATTGACTTCTTCACGATGTTTCGCCAAACTACACATGGTATGATTTTCTTTATTATTATTCATGGATACTACACTCAGATACTTTTGTTTTATATCTGCTTATGTTCATGAAAAGGAAATACTCAACTGCAGAATGAGGTAATTTTACTTTCCCGTGTGCGTACGTAGTAATATATGTAGTATAGGGAAAGTTATTTAATGCTGCGGAAAATAGATTGCGAGATTTCAACGAAAATACTAGTTTTTGCATCCCCTGATACCAAAAACATTTTTTTTTACAAAACGTCCGTCCGTCCGTCCGTCCGTCCGTCCGTCCGTCTGGTGTATGTGAACAACATTAGCGTCTAAACCATGCGTAGGATTTTTCAAATTGAAGAAAACCTTGTCCATTTAGTCTGAGTCAAAGTTTTACGATTTTGAAAATCATTCATTAGTTTTTGGGGGTACTTTATATGAAGCCCCTGGAACATTTTCAAAATTTTCTCAGACTTTTTTCTTTAAATTTCTTGTAAGAATAGAGTAAAATACACTTATAAAGGTGGCATAAGTCCGGTTTTCACGGTTTACTCTTAATTTTCGAAAATTGCAAGAGTTTGAATATTTTTCGGCTTCTTCCTACGACTAAAAAATTGAAGGCGGAGTTTTTTCCTCCAAATATAATTTGTTCTCCATAGTGAGTTATTTTATTAAGGTCAGGTACTATTTTTGGAAATTTTATTAGTTTTCGCGCAATATTGCGAGCAAATGTGCAATTTTTAAAAATTACAAAACAAGATTTTCTCACAAACGGCTCCACCTTTTTCACCAAAGATCGGTTGGGGATTGTGCTAAATGCACACTGTAAGATGACATATGTTGTATTTCTCTATTTTTTTTGTTTTTTCAAAAATGATGTTTTTTTAAGATCTCTCACGTCGTTAATCGAATTGATACGTATAATCGAATTGAATTGAATTGAATTAATGCCTTATTTTACGTGGCGAGACTCGGGCCATCAGGCCGCTCTTCCGTCTGACCACGTCTGACCACCAGGTTTGCTCGCAAATTTCGCTATGCTCCTTTCACCAACTAGCAGAGAAAGGAGGTATTTTTTGGGCGAGAAACAGGCGATTTAAATTTAGCACAGAGGCATCATTTAGGCTTGAGAATCTTTTACATGCAAGTAAGTCTACTAACATGGGACAGCCGGCTTTACTTCACCTCCGAAGGAAGGCGTACGATGGATTTTTAAATGAACGAAAACCTCAAAAATATTGTTTCATGTCGTTATTATTCACATAAGCTTATGAAATGTGCAACTGAGTGTAGTGAAAGGCTGGAGGTAATTATTTCAGATTATCTGTATATTTATGTTTCAGTGTTGTTTAAAGACGTAATGATGACGTGTCGATCCGAATAGCCGAGATCTCTGAGGTAGTAATGTCGTGGTGATATCGGATCGAAGGATCGCGGGTCTGAATCCCGCTTCCGGCATGCAGATCTTTAAAGGTCTGTGTAGATTGGATCCGTATTGTGAGGAATACGCAATCGGACGAATACGGCCGTTAACTGCGCAAACTTCCTTATCTTAGGCCGGTGTCGTATCAAACATCTCACATTAAGATAACATTTTCTATTCATTATATTTTGCAAATATTAAAACGATTTAAAGACGAATGTCTGATGCAGGCAAAAGCAATACGACCAATACAGCCGGCCGTTCACCTCGAAATTTTCTTCGGTCGAACACGGATCTAGTCTGATCATTTCACCAAAGGAAAAGCCTCGAGACCTGCAGTTCTTACACAAACACACACACACACACACACACACACACACACACATACACACAGTATGCCACGAATAGTGGACCGTCGAATGTGTTGAGTGCGCAATTGAGTTATCGTCGCAGACTTTTGAAGCAAGTTGTCACTGACGGCTGCTGAAAGGATCTTCCTGGCAGCTGACATCTCTCCATAATAGACCCGAGACACTGTTTTCGTTCCGGTAATCGGTTCTGTCGACGTTACAACCGCTGAGTTCGTTAGGATGCAAATGGCGGGTAGGGAAGTCCTTGTCAGTTCACGTGCTCCTGTGCATATATTCGTCAACCTCGACATGAAATATTGCGTACCAGTTTCAAATACCGTTCCAATTTGGTTTATACAGTATTTCGACTTACGTTTACAGGATATGTAAACTAAGCCTGTTCACGTTCTATATGTAATACGTCACAAGAAATTATTAAGATCTCTTAGAAACCAAAACCATTACATTAAAATGTGGATCCAGCAATACATTTAATGAAAGGTTAACGGTGTTTTTTGGTTTAGCTCTCTCTATGGCAACGTTACATTCGAATGAAAAATAATATTGTACAAATAAAGACAAATTATGATTGCCTGCTGTTATTATTATTATTAATAGTAATAACAATAATTTTAGCTAACACGAATAAAACGTTGAGTAAAACCCTTTTTGTTTGTCAATTACTTATTGATCATT